CATCCAAATAAAAAATCGTAAAGAATAATCCAGGGAAATTACATTTCAGAAACTGTAAAACGACTAGATGACACAATTCACTGCAAAATTCAATTTTCACTGTAAACTATAAAAACGTCTTTTTTTCCTTGTAAATTGTAAAAAGCCCATTTTATTTCCCGTAAAACTGTATCAGCTACCCCCCCCCCTTGCCCTCCCTCTCTATAAACGCTATTTTACATCTTAGTTGTACATGAATTTGCAATTTGTTGTAGTTGATGGCTGGCTACTCCAGCAGCAATTCATGCATTGAAAGTCTGCTCTAATTTGATGGAACTCTTGTTTACAGACATTGTTACTGAACTAGTAATGACAATGAATTTTACTCTCGGTGCAACAAAGGTCTTCCTTTCATCGTTATAAATATTTTTAAATGAATCCAAACAGCCAAGCAACAACCGCAGTGTGAACTGACATCATTTGAAAATGTTCCAGTGTTGTTCCATCGTTCAATAGAAACCTCTGGTTTCAGTTTAAATTGTGAAATTTAAAAATATTTATAAAGATTAAGAGAATGCCTTTGATGCAACGAGAGTAATCAGCCATTTGGAATATATTTTCTGATAAATCTAATTCATTGACTTTGTGACAAAACACTTTTGTTCAAAATTCAAACAAATAAAATATTCATACCTATTTTCCCCATAATGCAATGAGATACTGTTATAAAGAATAGATGGTGTATGTGAATGCGTTCGGGTTAATGCATTTCCAATTTTCCATGTTTAAAGTACTACATCAAAGTACAATTGTGCCATCTTTAGTTAGCTTATCCGAAAGCAGTTGTGAGTTGATGACACCAGATGTAAGCTGTGACAAAACCATGCTTTCGATCATGACTTTATCATGTTTCAAATCTATAGTCATACAAATCGATTTGAAAATGGCCGATTTGTCAAAAATGGTTTTTCATGTCTTCTACATGGTCTAAAATTCTATTGGAAACTCTTACATCCTGTTATAGAAGTTTGCTTGCACACTACAGTAGTAAGCAAATTTATTGTTTCGAAAACATGGACAATAATATTTGAGGGTATTTATGTGGCTCTGTTTTAACAAATGCAGTAGCAGTACGGTAGTCATTATATCTATTATCAGTTGTCATTGTTACTTTCTGAGGTACTTTCATAATCAACATAGTTTTTTTTTTTTTTTTTAAATATGTTTTTGTTCCCGGCAACAGTTCTGGACATTGAATGTCACTGTTGTCTCTTCTGACTTTTTTTTTTGTATGTGCATCTTGGAAGTGCTGACATATAGTGCATTTTGGCCACAGAAGCCATATTCATGTTTTGGGACTACACACATGACAGAGCTGTGTGGCCATCTCTCTATTTAATGGCAATTTAATGCGCTATCCTGGCGTCAACCAGGCTCAGTCGAACACAAGCATGCGGATCTTAATCAAGGTTCCCCCAAAGTCGCATTCATTAGTGAATGAATCTCGGCTAGTGGAATTGGCCTTCCCATTGAGTTTTGGTATTCAGCCTAAGGTAGGATTTGAACTTGGGTCTACCAATCATAAGTCTGATGCAACAACCACTATGCTACCTGTGATCGGTCAATCAATCAACATAGTTTTAGAGAAGCACCCAGTGGTACTTTCTGAAATCATCTAAATAGTATGCAGCTTTATGTGGCAAGCTGCTCTGGTCTTGCACACTGATTTCTGACTATCAAAGAATGCGAAAACGTGCACAAACATTTACACAACACTCATAAATCCTCAGCAGAAAAAAATAAGGAACATCACACTGTGGGATGACGGCTACTATCAAAACCACAGAATAACAAACACATACACACAGATACTTGAGAAATAATGTCATACATAAATTAATAATTTTATTAATTAGCATATCTTTACAACAGTCATCCATGGAAATGAAAACAACTTTGTTTCATAAACACAGAAAAAATAAATATATACATAATAACAAATACAGTGTAAGAAGCTGGTGATAAGACAGCAGTGTTTTAAGCTACTGATACTTATGCAAATTAACTCATTAGTTATGCAAAATTATGCAGAGAATCAACAGCATATTGATCTAGTATTGCCACGAGTTTCTATGAGTAACTTAACGCTGTCTCAATAGCGCCCTCACAGACAAAGTGTCCATCATGGCGATAAAGATACACACAGACGGGGACTGAGCACCTAGAGCAGAGATATAATTTCAGATCATCAATGACTGAGAAGTGTTATCTAGAGATAATTTATCAAAAGTCAACAGTGGTTTTGTGAAATGAAAAAAACACAATTACCAAGTCATAACTGTATTGTGATCACAATCAGCTATGCAAATGAACTAACGAATAAAAGAAGCACAGAATTTACACATGTAGCTAAAATCAACTATGATAGTTTCACATGAATCAGTAATATAACATCAAAAATGCAGACAGAAATGTAGAGCATTCAATTACTCGGTGATCATCATCTACATAGACAATTATAAAACATATCAAACTTCCTTTGATCTGACAACTCTTATTAGCATTGCAATCAATCACTAGTAACGTAATTAAAAACGATTTCAAACTATTAATTAGTTGAAATTTGAAATGAATCAATAATTTATAATATTATTTTCTAGATTTAAAAAAGCAGTGATCCATTTACGGTGCAGATACAAACACATTAGAGACACAAATAGATTCAACCAATCAGAGTTGATGTCTACGCATAATTGATAGATATGATGGATGGCAGCAATGGACAGAATTAGGTTTGATTACTCTGTGCACTAGAACAAGAAAGTATCACCAGATTCAGTAATTTTTCCATCCTTTTTTTCTTATTTCAGTGAAGTGCCAGTCTCTTTAATTATTATTGCTGTAGATCTAGAGACTGCATAACCAAAGACAAAGCTACCAGGTCTTAAAAGATTCCTGTCAAAAAACTGATTCAGCTGCTTCATATAAAATTGTCAATAAAATTTACAATCATAAAAAGTAAAGCATACTCAGTTGTGGATGCTGAATGATGTTACAGTGATGAAAAAAAGGCAGAATATTTTGACAAATACAATTTTTTTCACAGGAATTTATGAACAAGACATCGAGATTTTTAGTACACATTGCACATAGTGGATATTTAGTAAACTATGTTGCCCATAGCACCATTGGTGGGCACAACGATATTGATAAATGGCAGTCTTCATATAAAAAGTAAGTTTTTCGGCATAGGGCACTCTTCACTATAAGGAAGAAATTTACTGACAGTGTATAAAAAATTTCCCAATCCAAGTCATGAAACAGACAAATTGCTTGGACATGGTTTCTTGATTGACTGCTTGGCAGTGATGTTTGTAAAACGTAACTTTCACAAGTACCAAATAAATAAATACAGTTGTAGAATGTCTTGGACTCAAAAATATTTAAATAAAATCTTTTAAATCTTTGCAGCAATTTGTTTCCACATAAATAAATAGGAATATTACACAATATTGTTTTACAATCCTCGGGCATTTGATTATTTTCAAAATAAATTATTTCAAATTTTTTTTTGCAAAATTAGATGCAAATTAGTCTATTACACTTTCAAAACTTTTTGATTTTAACTCAACTGATTGCACATGCACGGGTATAGTAAACCAACCCAATAATGAAAGAATGGTTTATTAAATTTATATGTGGGCTTGAATGCTGTATTCAATATGCGAGGGTTAACAATGAGAAAAAAAAGTACTAAATTACAATATTAATAGGCTATTTTGTAACAACAAAAACTCTGTTCCAGTAATGTTACACTTCCCAATGTAGCAGTCCACTGAATTTCTTGCTGCAGGAGTCTGGGATTATGTAGTGTCGTATAAGGCAACAATAATAAATTCAGTTCAGGATAAACAGCAGAGATAATCCAAAAAGTCAGTCCGCTTATAGGGTCACAGTTTACCTTGTCAGGAACTGCAAAGCTGAGTATACCAGAGTATTAACATCATGTGGTGAGCTGGCAGTGTTGTTATAGGGGATACGGCTCCCCAGTACTGAGGGGTCTAGTCAATGTTACCTTGTGTGTTTTAATGTTCACAGATCTTGAAGCCACGTATATATCCATACATATCGAATGCATCTTTGTACATGGGTCCTAGATTATTTCAGACACACAATGTTTTTATGTCGCATGCAGGTCACTGATTCCCATCTTCTGAACATACAAGTTATGTTTCCAAATTATGTTGCCAATGTTGTCCTAGTTACAATCTTGTTTTCCAACAGGTACATTTCTATCACACACAAATGTTGGTGAATCCAGCGAATCTTTCATGTTCTTTGTTCCATGTACATATCCATCATGTATCCTTCTCTTAGTTTATGTACATTCATGTCACATATATCTTTGCAGTCTGCAGCATTACATCCCACAGTATGTTGCACATAATCCATAGTTTATGTACTGTCATGTGTCACATACATATATGCACATTACCTCCCACAGTATGTTGCACATAATCCATAGTTTATGTACAAACATGTCACATACATCTCTGCAACATTACCTCCCACAGTATGTTGCACATAATCCATAGTTTATGTACAGTCATGTGTCACATACATCTCTGCAGCAATAATGTATGTTGCACATAGTCTTCCTACATCACATGTATTCTTCATAATGCCTACTGGTATGTACCAACATAATGTCACATAAAATGAGTCCACATAAATACACATAAGCTCAACATAAAATTCACATAAATATACACCATATGTCACATCATGGAGAATATATTTCAGTATTCTAAGGTTTTTCAAGAACGTTGAAGCGTACGCTAAACTATTTACATAAATTTTAAATTGTTTTGTGA